GGGGGATGCTTTAGGAATATGGGATTGTGGGTCAGTTGTTACGGGCCATTCAGAGCAAGAGTTTGGCAAAAGGAGTCTGGTTCGGCAGTCTCGTGATTCCATCTCTGCTATTTGCGGATGATGTGGTCCTGTTAGCATCATCGTGTCATTATCTTCAGCTCTCACTGGAGAAGTTTGCACTTGAGTGTGAAGCGGCTGGGATGAGGACCAGCACCTCCAAATTCATGTCCATTGCCCTCAGTCAGAAAGGGGTGGATTGTTCTCCTATGGGTTGAGGTTTGAGGTTCTGCCTCAAGGAAGGAGGAATTCAAGTATCGTGGGGTTTTGTTCACACTGAGGGACGAACGGAGTGTGAGACTGACAGATTGGTGCAGCTTCCACAGTATTGTGGAGTTTGCACTGGTCTGTTGTGGTGAAGAAAGAGCCGAGCTGAAAGGCAAAGCTCTCTGTTTACAGGTCGGTCTACATTCCTACCCTCACTTACAACCACAAATTGTAGACTGAAAGAACCAGATGTCAGATACGTACAGGTGGTCGAAATGAGTAGAAATAGGACATGAAGTTCAGTTCTCCAGGAGAGACACAGAATAGAACCACAGCTCTTCCATATCCAGAGGAGCCAGTTGAGGTGGTTCATCTGGTAAGGATGACCCCTGGATGCCTCTCTATGGAGGTGTTCTGGACACGTCCAGCCCACAAGGAAGACCCAGGACAGTCTGGAGAGACTATGGTCGTATTCACACCTGATAGTGTGGTACACTTGGTTCGATTGGGGACAAAAACTGCCAGATTTGTTTACATTTTCAGTTGGTACGTTTAACAATTACACTGCACTTTGTCAAAWGAACTAAACCCAGAATATTGTTTTTCTACACAAGGTGGCTGAGACGACTCCATGTGAGGCAGCGTTCACCGAGAACAAGTGCATCCAAATTCAAACAGCAGTGAAGTTCGCCTTATACAGACATCCAGCAAGGTATTTACAAGATATGAGTAACTTCATTACTATTACAGTATTACTCAGAATGCCATGCGTTATAGTTGCTTCCTGCTTTTGGAGCGGTCTCTGGTCCGCTTGGCGTTCACACATGCAATTGGCTATGAACACAATATGGCATCCGCTAACTTCCTAAAGTTGTGAGGTCAAGCACTTCCAGGTAAGTATCTGCTATTCAGGTTGGATTGATTTGAAAGGAAACAGGGGAAAAAAATGAATATGTCAAGTGTCCATAGGAAGAGATTGTGCTATCAACGAGTGAGTGGATCATTGCTACATTATTGTGTACCTTGATTCTCCAACAATGCAAAATGGGGCTGAACAATACACTCACAAACAGAAGAAATTAGAGACTAAATGCATTTGGCATGCTAGCTGATGCTAAAGCTAGATATATGCTCCAACTCAATCACTTTTTTCAACAGCTAGAAATACTTACTGAACCTAAACATCAGTGACATCAGAAACCCAAAATATAGTCATGTCTTTGTGGAACCGATCAACATTTCTTGTTGTTCCTACTCTGAGTTCATGAGGTTTCTCAGACTTTCGCATGGATCTGTAACAGACCGCCCTGATGCTCACTCTCCCTGATGAGTCTTTGTTGGACACTGTGGTAAATCATAACAGGTAAAAAAAAAATCTGAAGCTACAACTTTGGGGTTGCAACAGATGTTACATAATTGCAGAAAGCGAGACTCCATTAGTCATGAAGTAGGAAGAAAAAAAAACGGTTGTAAAGTAGATACGAGCTAAAGCTAGTTCGCCAAACAATAACTGGATGTATTCAATGCCTAACTTCACAGTTGTCCATGTCATTCAACAAGCAAATTTGAAGCTCTTTTCTTTTTGACAACGTGGAGCTGATGAAAAGGCTTAATCAAGCAGAGAGCATAGCTGATTGTAACTTTTGGGCAGTCCTGAAGGCAGCAGGTGTAAAACAATGCCATTGCTCTCCATGGTGAACAGCCAAACAGGAAGTACTGGTCCTCACAAATTCCAATTAGCAGAAGTCAAGTAGCTACATCGTGCAATGAGCCAATTGAACCACACCAGAGTTCACGTCAATCGAACAGAGATCTATGTTTGCAGGCAGACCAGAGATCGATTTTTTTAGTTCAAATCAGAGTTTGATTCTGCATTCACACCTCCCCAAACAAACCAGACTCTCTAAGCAAAGAAACTGGAGTTTGATTAAAGCAGAATAAACAGGGCTGGTGTGAATACACCCTGTCTCTCAGCTGGTCTGGGAACACCTTGGACTGATCGATTAATCGATAGACAGATTGGTTGACTGATTGATGAAAGAAGGGAATGGGATATGAGACATATGAGGTATGCAAGACACTCTGTGTTACCTCAGACATGACATCCTACAAAACATATGAATACCTTCGTTCAAATATTGCTAACAGTAAGTAGAAAAGCCATCAGAGGATTATGATGGAGCAGTGGTTTTACATCATGGAGGAGATATTTGTGATGGAAAAACTCACACTGACTGAGAGTGCTGGAGGGGCGATTAATAAATAAAACAAAGAGGACACCACCATTAGAACTGGACAATAAGGGTACAAAAATAATTGTTTAAAGTTGATAATATGGTGTACTTCTTCAATGTAACTGTTCATGAACAATTTCAATAAAAAATAAGTAAAAAAATTACATTTTTGTTTAAAATCCAGGTTGTAAGACAACAGAAAAGAAACAACACTGGGAGTAAAGGAGACTTAAACAACCACCTGCATTTGTCATAAGTAGGTAAGTTACCAGTTTGGTGGTACAAACACAGCCCTGAACCTGACTCATAGATACTGAGGGCAGCAGGAAGAACTGGAGCAGTGCTTGGGTCTAGACCCACCTGGTGTAGTCCATGATGGTGTTGAGGCGATGAGCTATAGTCAGGACGGTGCAGTCTTCAAACTGGGAGCGTATTGTGGACTGGATCAGGTTGTCTGTCTCCATGTCTACAGCAGCGGTGGCTTCATCCAGCACCAGGACCTTTGTCTTCCTCAGCAGAGCCCGGGCCAGACACAGCAGCTGCCGCTGACCCACACTGAGAAGATGGAGGCAGCAAACAGGCACCACTCAGATGACTGAGGTCTTAAACCACAGGTTTCATCACAAAAGACTGATTACGTGAAATTGTTTCCAAATGCAGTCCTTCAATAACCATCATGTTCAGTTTGTGCTTCTCTCTGTGTTCATCTGTTAGCACAGTATCTCAAATGTGTTTTCATCAAAATCAGAAAGTAGTCATTAGATGTAAATCTACAACTGATTGACTTCTGGAGTCAACCACATTCAAGATGGCTACCACAAGCTAAGAAGTCTTAAACACAGAACAGCTAGAAGTCAGTCACCTTTACAGATAGTGATCTAAATTGTAATGTGGTATTAGCTGAGAGTTGTTTACAACCTGTAGTCTGAGGGATGACATCATACAAGATCTCTTCTGAAAACTTTTGTCTTAATTTTTGGAGTCAAGTGTTTGCTGGGAAAACTCTAACCAGTTTAACCTAGTACTGCGACTATTAAATAGTTTTATTTCAGTTAACTAAATCACTCATTTATTGATTATTCAATCTAAAATGCAGTATGAATATATTTCCTCCAGTGATTGTAATCCATAATTTTATTTTAACTAATTTCTTTTAAAGCCATCTTTGTCATTTTCAGTATGACCAAAAAATAAAATGTAAATACTTTCAGAATAAAGTACGAATACAGGTCCTTCTAAAAAAAAACAGCATACTGTGATAAAGTTCATTGTTTTTTGTAATGTACTGATAAACATTAAACTTTCATATATTTTAGATTCATTGCACACCAACTGAAGTAGTTCAAGCCTTTTATTGTTTTAATTTTGATGATTTTGGCAAAAAAGTAAAGAAAAACCAAAAWTCCCTATCTCAAAAAATTAGCATCTTTCATCCGACCAATAAAATAAAAGTGTTTTTAATACAAAAAAWGGTCAACCTTCAAATAATTATGTTCAGTTATGCACTCAATACTTGGTGGGGAATCATTTTGCAGAAATAACTGCTTCAATGCGGCGTGCCATGGAGGCAATCAGCCTGTGGCACTGCTGAGGTGATATGGAGGCCCAAGATGCTTCGATAGTGGCCTCAAGCTCATCCAGAGTGTTGGGTCTTGTGTCTTAAGCTCATCCAGAGTGTTGGGTCTTGTGTCTTAAGCTCATCCAGAGTGTTGGGTCTTGTGTCTTA